GTATAGTCTCTCCAAAGTTTTCCTTAAATACGATAAACGAGCGATAAAGTCCACTTTCATTTAAAGTATCTTTTGTCTAGTTTACTGTGAAGCAATTGTTGATTGCTTTAATTAAATAATTTTTTAGGTATTGTTTGCTATTCAATAAAAAAAAATCAGATTTTTTTAAAACTCTTTACATATGACCGTCAAGAAAAAAAAAATTGAATAAGATTTATTTTCCTGAAAACCGATCAAAGAAAAGATTTGAATACGATTTATTTGATAAACTGAAGCAATGAAAATCGGCTTAAGGTAAATCAGTGTAAAAATGTTAATACCCTCTAATATTACTGATCAAAAACTTTTGGCCATAGCTTACTTTTGTCACACAATAATTTCTGCTAAAAGTAGAGGAAATAGTGATACGGTTGTGTGTGATATACTTAGCAAGTTAGGCCCCTAAACATTTTTTCTTTTCTTTATAACTTTTTTTCCTGAATTTCCTCGGGAATTTAGACCATTTTCGAAAATTGAAAGGAAAATTATTAGAACACTATAGGGAAGTTTCATCAAAATCGTTAGAGCCGTTTTCACGCTACAGTCTATAGAAGAACACGTTTTTCATTTATTGCGCAGCAGCTATAGAGCACCCAGTTTGTGTCACAGGTATCAGTAGTCAAAACCCTACAAAATGAAAAAAAGAAGCAACAAAATCGGTTCACTACTTCCCGAGAAAATCTTGGCACAGACAGACAGACAGACTAATGGCTAAACATGTGTTTTTCGGACTCAGGGGGCTCTGAAACGTATAGATCCGTCGAAAACCGCATATCGAAAATTTGACCCGATCGCAATACTTACCTTACCTAGTACAGGTAGGAAAATAAAAAGTGATACAAAAACCACTATTCTTGAATTTCTTACTATTCTGTTGAAAATCGGATCATTGTTTATATAAACTTTTTTGTAGCTCTTAGAGTCTTCTATTGTTCTTATGAACCATTTACGAATGATGATTACTATACAAAAGTATTGTGAATTGTCTTTGAACAATTAGAGTATTCAGAACCATTTTGTGGAGGAAGTTCCCCTAAAACAAAAAAAAAAAAAATTGTTTCTTCATAAGTCCAAATTTGCATCTAACAGTGGTGCATGCATAACACTTCAGATAATAAATGTGAGGGGGCGGGGTGGCCGAACGGACTAACGCGTGTGCATAGCATCGTGCGTTGCCTAGCAACCTGATAACCAATGTTTGGAGACAATAAAATTACTAGTTCCGGGAGTGCGTGGGGGTATTTTAAATTTCCTGACATCATCCCCTTGCCCGAGAAAACCTCGGTATAGCATAAAAATGCGTGATAGGGGAGAACAAGAAATATATATATATATATATATATATATATATATATATATATATATATATATATATATACTAAATGTAAGCACGTGGCAAGACGAATAACAATTTATTAGTATAAGCATTATTGCTCCTGTAATAACTGTTGTTAGAAATAGAATACCCTCCCTCCTCCAAAATGAAATCCTGAATTCTCCACAGCTTTAAATCTGACTTCGATGTTTAAGTGCAGGTGGATCTAGGTTTCAGAATCTAGGTTCATCTAGGATCAGCGTGAGCTCTTAGCTGATCAGTATCTCGTGAAAATCCTTAAAAGACTCTGCTAAGCCGGTATTTAGCCCCAGAGGGATTGTTCTACGCCCAAAGCTCGCTCACTCAACGCCCAGATCTATCGGCAATGAGAGATCACCAATACGTCCTCAAAATCGACCGTACAGTATGTTACGCATACTTACGTTATGCAGTTAAACAACTTCGAATAACAACTAAAGATCTGAAAAAAAAAAAAAATAGATTACGATCAGTTTATAATGAGGCTATGTAACTTAGCACTTTTGTATTACATCATTTCATCTTCATGATTAACCAACATTGGAATATTTAAGGCAATGTTAAATAACAAATTATTGTAGTTTTTCTTCTCAATTTTATGAAAAGTCTACATAACTTTTCTTTGAAGATAGAAAAAGTATTAATCCGTGGTACAGACCCCTTTTTATCAAGTTATTAACATCCGTCTAAAACTTAGTCAATGGCTTATCGTATAGAATTATAATTTGCTTATATAGTAACCAAAAAATTTCGCATTTACAAAAATCCTCAGAAACGGGACGTTTTCTCGTTGAATTAAGTAATTTAATGAGATACTAAAAACTCATGAATAGGCATTTTCTTTCACTTGAAACGTAAGATAATTTGGTCACAAGATCAGAAAAAAAATAGTAGCCTTCAAAAATGCCATTTGGCCATATATATATATATATATATATATATATATATATATTATATATATATATATATATATATATATATATATATATATATATATATAAAGTTATCAAAATTCTAACCAACAATTCTATCAATTTAAACATATTTCTAAATTATGATTTCATCATTATGTATTTTTGGACACCAAATATAACAAAAAACATTCTTCGTCTCATTTCATCTAAAACTTGTCAATCCCCAAAACCTCCTCTATTAGTCAATGTTAATCAATAGAAGGAGGATGTATATATATATATATATATATATATATATATATATATATATATTGATTAACATTGACTAATAGAGGAAGTTTTGGGGATTAACAAGTTTTAGATGAAATGCGACGAAGAATGTTTTTTGTTAAATTCGGTGTCCAAAAATACATAATGATAAATTCATAATTTAGAAATATGTTTAAATTGATAGAATTGTTGGTTAGAATTTCGATTACTTTATAATGAGCAAAATAGCTGAAAACGTTGTTAAAAGTTGAATAAATAGTTAAATTACAAGAGCTTATATACTTGGAGACACCACATATGGGTGTTCATGGGTTTTTATAACTTCATTAAATAGATTAAGTTTGTTTATCTCCAAATTGAAAACACTCCAATCACAAAAATTTTCGTTAGTAAAGAAGGGTCTTTACCACGGAATATAGAGTAGATAAATACATTTTCATTTAAAAGAGGATAAATACGTTTTGAGATCCATACAAAATTCAACATTTCGTATAAAGAAAAAACTTGAAATTCTGCATTATATTCCAAATGGTCGAACAAATTCTTTGCGAAAATTCTCGGAATTGGGGCGTTTCCAATCTGGAGGTCGTTAGATTTTGCCTATTTAATTAGGAAATAAAAAAACTGATAAATCCCCATTTGCTTTCTACTTCAATCGTAAGATAATTTGAGCAAAAATCGAGAAAAAAAAGTGGCCTTCAAAAATATTCAGCCGTTTGGCGTGATCTACACCTCCTAATTGTCAAAATAACGAGGCCATATAAGCCAAACGGCCCAATATTTTTGTAGGCCACCTTTTTTATAATTTTTATGATCAACGACCAAAGTGGAAAGCAAATGGGTATTTACGAGTTTTTAGTGCGTAAATAGACAAAGTTGCTGACCTCCAAATTGGAAACGCCTTAATTCCAAGAGTTAGGTTACGATGAGATGAAACTATTTACGAAGTTTAATAATTAATTGAACGGTATTAATAATTCGATAAAAAGGGGCTTGAACCACGGACTATTGACCTTGACGAAATGATGAGAAATTATTGATCAACTTTGACGAATGAGATTTTTTTTTTAATCTGATATAGTCTAATTATTATATTTTACTGCCATTTATTTTATTTTAACCTTTTATTTTATAGATCATCACTTTTCTCAAAACATAATAAGATGAAAATTTTATTTATCTTTTATCTTCGTTTTTTAACTTCAGTAACCTCTTCCTAATATTATCTCTTTGCATCTCATTTCAGTTGTTACTGCCATTTACTGTCTTTAATTGAGTTGCATTATGAAATGATTTGTTTAATAATATTAAGCTTGGCTTTGTAACAGTTACGAGATGGAAATGAATATGCCATCTTCGTAAATAATAACGAAGTATATGTAATAGCTCCATGAGAAGAGTGCCTAATAGGATCATTACCAAGTTTATCGTGGGACCATAACACCTGGATTAATAGCCATTAGGCAACTCTGCCTTTTAAATATACCTTTATCTTTAATACTTCCATTCATCCCACATTTATTAGTTTATGTAAACAAATAGAGAATGGAAGAGAGAGAGAGAGAGAGAGAGAGAGAGAGAGAGAGAGAGAGAGATTCTGTATTGTCGTGTCGTAGAGCCTTACACCCTTTCATTCAGAAAAATGTACAAATTCTCCTGAAATATCGTAAATGAAATAGTTGTAGGTTACGATGAGATGGAACTGTTTACGAAGTTTCAGGCGGATGTTAATAATTTGACAAAAAGGTGTCTGTAAATTATGGACTATAACTATCTCTTACAATCAGCCTGGGAAACTCCGAACAAATCTTTTCCTCTCACTTGTGGAGTGAAAAGCGAGGCTTAGGAGATCCCTGCGCTTCTCCCTCAACCATTTCACTGCTATTCAAAACCAACGAAGGATGAGTAAGATCTCTACAGCCTCAGACACTTATGGCTTGAATCTGGCCATTGCTGGAACTATAGTATATATTTGCGAAAGATCTCGGGGCCACTGCCGCTTTAACCTACGAGGGGGAATTTAGGGATGGGTGATGCTTGATAGAGATCGTACAACGGGATTTGGGCGATGGGTAAGGTTATAATGAAATTTGGGAAATTTGTCTGGGATAAGATCAAGAATAAATGTTATATTAAGGTCATTATGCAGGGTTTTATTGGTTACATAGAAGGGAGCATCGACTATTGTACGGAGGGTCTGGAATATTGTATTATGGTCTGGACTATAAAGTATGAAACTTCCGTGTGTTGAAGAGACTATCTTGGTAATATTATAAACATGTTTCAACGTAGAATGCATTAGGAAACTGTGGATATATATCTAATGTGAGAATTCTCAATGTCATATACTAGTTACATTGTATTTTTATATTGTTTCCTCCTGCGGAATGCCACCACTAATCCATCATCCTAAACATTGACAGACCCAGAGAGTCGAGAGAATGGCGGCGCAGACTGGGCCTGCTGGACGAGGGGGAGCTGTTCATGGAGTTGATCCGGGACGTCTCGAACGAGCTGGACATCGACGTGCTCTGCCACAAGATCCTCGTCAACGTCGGCCTCCTCACCCGGGCCGACAGGGGGTCCCTCTTCCTCGCCAGAGGACACATCCTCATCGCCAAGCTCTTCGATGTCACAGTCGAGACAGGTAAGCTTCCACATTGAATGAATGAGAAATGCTTTATTAAATATGTATACATTATAAATTTCCAAAATACAAAGAACATTTATACGGCATGATTACTCGTCTGTCGGAAATGTTATATGTTTTACTTGTACAGTACAAATAAAGACCTTATAACAACTGCATGTACATGAATGACTGATAAATAATAAAACAACTCACAATATAAAATAATAAATATATTGAATAATTTATGTCTAAGAAATAATAATAAAGGAAAAGAATAATAATAACATGAGTAAAACTGACCACAAATAAATTAAAACGATCATTGTTTATGCTGGATGTAGCAAATTAAAACAGTGTTTTCACGCCTGTCGAGCAAAACCAACAATTTTACCGCATTCGTTCACAGAGTGGGTATTTAGAAAAGAAATTAGAATACCATTTCGAATTTGACCAAGCATTGAACACTCAGCCAGAAAATGGAACAGGTCCTCCCTTACTGGTAGGTTACAGATTGGACTGGTCTCCTCAAATAAAGGAGTTCACACCTGAGCTTGAACAACCAACTCAACTCGCGCCCTGACATTGAATAATGTAATTTTTTTTGGTTTATTATCTTCAACTATCCACCTTCATAATTTACCAAAAAAAAAAAAGAAAATTTAACTCCCTCTCAAAATTTGAAGTTTTACATTTCAAGATACGTAGAATCTGAAAATCAAATTTATAAAATCAGTCTGTCCGCGAATTTTCTCCAAGAACTCTAGACCGATTGTTTTGAGATTTAGTATCAATGTCAAAGGGAACCCTAAGATGAAATTCGAAACTTGGTATTATATCCACAATTTTCTTTCAAGATGGCAGCCGAAAAAACAGTATCGTTATATACTGTAGCACTGGAATTCAGATTTCAATGAAACTTGGCAAAGTCTTCTCCTTGAACCCCTTTGAAATTATGTTTGTAATAAATTTCACCGAAAATTATTTTCCTTTTAAGTAGGCGGCTGAAAATCCTGTACAGTATAAATGCGTCTAAACGAATGTACCAATTTCGATGAAAATTCATCATTTGTTATTTCAAATATTTCAAAATTTTCTAAAAAAACACAAACAAGAATCGTTGAAATCGGACGATTTGGGTCAAAGCTGCGTTCTTCTAAATATTTTTCACATGTTTTGCTACAACCCTGATATCCTTTCTTTTTTTTTTTTTTTTTTTTTTTTTTGGAAAGTCTTACATCGAGATTTTTGTCTATATTTCTTAGCAAATTACTTCTTTTTTTTATTATTAACTTTTTTATTGAGAAATATTACAATCTGTCTCAGTTAGGGACACTTATAATAGAGTTCAGAGAGTAAATTCACACCGAATATACGCCGTAAATAAATAAAGTAAAAAACAAAAGGATATATGGAAATAAGAACAAAATAAATGTTATAAGGAGAGTGGAAAAAAAATATATACATAAATATGTGAAAATAAAAATTAAAATAAAATAAACATCTTCGATACCAATCTTTTCCCCCCACTTGTGGATGGAAAAGCGAGGCTTAGGAGATCCCTGGGCTTCTCCCAGTATTTAAAATCAGAATTTTTTCAGATCATTATAAAATTAGCCTTTTTTTCTAACAAATATTAACAAACAAGTTTTCATTTGAAATAATATCAGATGTTACCGGCTTATGGCCTTTCCCATGGCCATTATGTTTCGACTCTAAGTTAATAAAGATGATTAAGTAACTGAATGTTTTGTAATAGTTTTACTTTTTGATAAATTAAATAAACTTAGAGAGAATAAAATAAGTTAAGACAAAATTACCTTGATCGCTTTTAGTTTGCAAGTTAATGTTTTACATTTATCTAATTAACAAAAGAAAATTAAATACACACATTTATATATATATATGTTTACTATACACATATATATTGAAATTCTAATGTATATTTATATATAAGTTTTAAACATTGTTCCAATGTCATTTATAAGTATGCTGTGTATGTAGATAGATAGATAGAAGATAGAAAAAAAAACTTTATTCTGGGACTAAGTCCCTTCAGAATAACAATAATGTACAAAATAATAGAATATTACTGGCCTGAACGTTGAAACAATAAATAAAATTGATAAAATAAAATAAAAAGTAAAGAAAATCTTAGGTGCACAAGCTATATACAAACAGATAAAACTATGCACAGAGCATTTAAAATTATGAACAAAACAATTAAAACTATGAACGAATCACTTGAACTATGAACAAAATTATATTTAAGGGTTGAACAACATAAACATACACTTTGAGAAATGAAGAACGAAAAAGAGATACAATGAGTTCATTTCATAAAATAAAAAAAAAATAAAAACTTTACTTGAATATATATATTAAAATAAACAGTTAATTATAATTGAATAAAAAAAAAAAATGTATGTATTGAAATTCCTACGTCGATAGTAGGAAATGCATGTACTATCTATTACCAAGTGTTATGATTATATGATTGCTACACAATACATATATAATATATGTAGCAGCTAGTGTTGCCCAAAATCGGTCTTGGTCTTGCACTTTGCACTTTGTTCGCCAAACAGTTACAAGACCAAGACTGGTAAAAAAAGTAGATTTTTTTAAACAAAAATTAAGGCAAAATAGTTACTAGTACTTGACAATTTTAATTAATGTATGCAAAGTATTGGTATAACCAATATACTTTTGCATTTAACTCTTCTAATTTTCCATTCGGGCTTAGTTAGGTTTCTCCTATCTAAAAAATTACAGTAAGATCTCTATAATAATAAGCTTATAGGTAACTGCAAGACTATTGCGCAAAACCAAGACTGAGTGCGCAAGACCAAGACACGTCCTGGTATCGCATTTGGTCAATACTAATAGCAGCAAACCAATATAACTATTTTATAAAAATAAAGTGTTTTCTCTCTTGATATTTATTAGTCATGGTAGATAAAATATGAATATTATCGAGAATAATGCCAAGTCTGTTAAATATATTATTATTTTATCTCACGAATCTTTACAACATTGGCCATATGTCGTCACCAAATATAAGTTTTTGCCATATTCTTCTGTTCTGCCAGTCTTCTTCACGCATCCTCCTGTTCATCGTTTCTTCCTTTACGCCCCCGTAAACAGTCTCTCTTCGGGCGACCCTTCTTCCATCTTCTTTTTGGTTTCCAAAAAAAAAAAATATATATATATACATATAATTATGTTAAAATATATTAATATCAGATATAATAATATGGTTACAACGACATGAAGTGAAAATCTGATACAAATCTCGATCGTTCCAAAAGCAGATAACGAAACTGTATTTCCATTTTAATGGGACAGATGCCGCCGCTGGAGCATGGAATTATTAATTTCCAGGCAATTAGGGTCCTATATCAATCATTGCTGCGCTCCCATCCAAGACATTTATTGCCCGTCTCCTCGATTCCAAATTCCAAATATCAAATCTTCTCTGGGGCGGTAATGGACTCATACTGGCTTGTAGTGTTAGCGTCGAGAACATAATGTCGAAGAATTCATTTTATTAGTATATCAATGGTACATAATCCAAAAGAGAAAATATACCTTTATCTTATAACATTTACACTTCGACGAGAAACATGAATATAATGGATTTATTTTGCTGTACTCTAATTACCTGATAACAATGTATATTTTATAAAAGGATCTCGTTAATTATCAAATATCTGTAACTAGGGAACTATTTGGCGTTATTCGAAATGAAACGACGTCATAATATATATATATTTTTTAACTCCATTTCTTCACCCACACCTGTCATAAGCAGTGATAATTAGCGGGTCAGCTGTCGGTAAGTGTACAGGCTTGATCGGCTTGATAGAGAGGGTTGCCCAGCGGCATCCCTTCCTGTCTTGATTTTAGCTCTTTTTGAGTCTTCCAAGATTGTTTTCGGGCATGTTAAACGTAGGCATACATTTAAGTGTGTTAGTATGTCCATGTAAGTTATTGTGAAATCGTTTGTATTGTCTCCGAATGTGGTCGTTAACTGTTGGATTTGAAGGTCTTTATTTAAAGTAATGTTTGTGACCATGGAGCTTTAGTTATGTAACTAAATATAATTTAACATTTTTTTTTCCTATGCCATAGTCATTGGTCATTCGACCATCCGACATCTTGCTGCCCAGTATAAGTTTGATTTTTTTATTAATCATTCACATATGTTTCATTCCTAATATTCATCAAAGCAGGAAATTTTTCTAGGTGGTCTGCATCTGTTTTTGCTTGTTCACACAATTTGCACCTAGGATCCTCAGCCAGGCCTATCTTGTGGAAATGACTGTAGATAGCCGTGACCAGTGGCCAGGCGGAAGCAGGCTACTGCATCTCTTCTTGGTAGGTCTGCTGGGATCGGGTTTTCCACCAAACATCCATAACCTCTCCCTTCCACCTTGTCTTTGTGCATATTTTTTGTTTCCTCCTTCACTACCATCCCCACCATTCGTCGAATTGAATCGTTAGAATTTGGGTGGACTGTTTGAGGCAATTCTGCTCCCCTCCTGGCGAGACTATCCGCTTCCTTATTTCCTGGAATACCTTTATTCACATTATTACATTTATTCAGTCAGACATTTATTCACGTCGGTAATACCGAGGATTGCTGCTTGAGAGTCGACAAAGAGAACAGCCTCTGAACTTGCCTACTATTATTATTGTCTATCTATGTGTCCTTAGGGCTATGAGGATCACTGCTATCTCACTTTCAAAATTTATACCATTTTGTACAATTTAACATTTTATAACTTTAGAAAATGGCACCGAACCTTAAAGACATAACTATGTCACATTTATGCATAGCGAATACAATTTAAAAAACAATTAAATCATTTTAATTACATGAAAAATAAATAATTTGATAAGAACATTTAATTTTACATGTTCCTTACGTGTTTTGTGATAGTTTCATAGAAATGTTTAGAGTAACATTATTTGCAACTAAACATTTTTTTCTTAGTGACATAATTAGCTAAGAGTTGATTTTTCTAGCAATAGTATAAACACTAATCATTCCTGATTATAGACAGATTCAAATACCTCGGCTCCACAATAACCTCAATAAATGACCGACTAATCAAGTTAGATCATGGTATAATAAGCTGATTTATCTTTTTTCTTTCTAAATATCTGTTTACTTACATTGCTTACCTACAGTAGAATAAGATCTATCATTGATGACTTTCCGAACTATCTGGAAAAAAATGATTACAGGACCTTCTAAACTGAGATAGTCATAATTGTTCTGTCAATGAGTACTTCATTCATTAGCCATTTTTATAAAAAACAATCTGTTTAATCAATTTACATAATGTAGAGTTTTCACATTTTCGAAATATCGATCTATCAATAAATATAAAAAAATTAATGTTGGAAGGGTTCGGTAACAAAATTGTTAACGATTCCACTCTTTCTTATATATCATTAGATATAACTTAGTTTGCCTTATTGTCAAGATTGCTTTTTCGTCCTCCCCTGATCCTTTGAAGACGACGACAATCTAAACCTGTTCCGGGGCGATTGAAGAGGGAAAAGACAAACTGAAGAGAGGAGAGGCTCCCCCCGAACTAATCAGATTCCCCGCGAAGAGGGAAACTTTTATTACGGGGCTGCTAATTGCCAGCCTGGGGATCGGGCCTAAAGGCTCTCCTGTCCCTCTCCTTCTCAATGGCCCCCCTCCTTCTACCTCAGCTTCAACCCTGACAATTTTCATTAAACAGTGTTGACATTTCATTTTATATAAAGATAAAAAATTTGCAAGATAGAATACAACAGTTTTGTCTGCACCTTAAACTATAAATAGGAAAAAACTGAATAGAGAGAAAAGAAATTTATGAAATTCCACAGATTTTTCTCTGTCCGACAGGGATTAGAAATTTCCTGTATTTCTCGCAGAAGTACCTCAGGGATCAACATTGGCTCCTTTACTCTACATTATCTATACGCATGACATGCCTACCACTTCCGAAACATTGATTGCTACTTTCGCTGACGATAAAACAATTTTAGCATAAACCACGATCCCAGCCTACACTCATTGAATTTACAAAATTTGTACTCACTTTGAAAAATTAGATTAAATTATGGCAAATCACAACAGATAACATTTACTCGACGAGACACATTTCCACCAGTTTATATCAGCGACAACCAAATTCCCCAGACGGACACTGTTATCTCGGGTTAATATTTGACAGAAGGATGACCTAAGACCCACATGTCAAAATAAAACGAAAAACATTGAACAAGCCATTGAAAATACTGTATTCACTTTTTATCAAATCAAAATTGAAAATTACACAAAAAATTAATACATACACTTACCTACTCCAACTCATATGGACATAAGCCTCACAAATTTACTGCAAAAAAGACGCATTTACAAAAATTACAGACTTATCAATTCAAATTTTTACGACTTATAACAGGAGCTCCTTGGAACATAAACAGCAAAACTTTACATAACGACTTACGACAACCAACTTTCGACTAACACATACGTGATCTCTACTCCAGATTTCATCTTAAACTACACTGACATCACAACGGACTTATTAACGACATGGCCACAGCTGACATCCCCACCAGGAGACCACTAAAGAGGAGCTGGATGAGAGATACTCTTTCCTGAATTAAGGAAATAAACAATGACCAGGAAGAAGTGCTGCTGGGTACTATTTTTTTCCTCTTGCCTAAAATGTCCATTTTCTTATTAGTTACAGCACATCTGCTTATTGTCAAGCTTATGATAGGTGTAAATGGAAATATGAAGACAAACAAAAAAATATTCGGCGATCTTGATAAATAATTTCTTTCGAACTTATACATCTCGAGATAATTCATAACACGCCTCCAACGATAAACGTTTCCATCCAAATTCCTAAAACGGAGAAATTATTTTACCTTCGATTAACATTCAATAGAAAGATAGTCTGTGGTCAAAATGATAAGAAAGTCTAAAAATAAACGACTGAAATTAATGTACTCCCTTCCTTTTAAATAGTTCCTTTCTTTTTTTTCATTAAATTTGCCACTGCGTTTTAACGCATCAAGCAAATGTTTTGGCGTTTATTCTGTCTTCTTGTATTCTTGCTACTTGCTTAACTTGTCTGCAGAAGATTTCTAGGCCACTGCCTTTTTAGTCGTCGTTGAGGCTCACCATGTAACAGGGAGGAAGAAAGAAATAGTACGAGAAGATATGGATTATTGAAATGTTGTGTACTTGTTGTGTATGTAGGATTTTAATTTTGGTATGTTCATATCTGTGTGTATGGTGTAATTTGGAATAAACCAAGGAGCCTTTACGATTTTTCGTCCGAGATACCGTACATGTGTTTTTGAGAGAACTGGCTTATTGTCTATTGTCACAGCTGGACACGAGATCTTCCTCAGGGAGAAGCTAACATGAGTTGACTTGCTGGCATTGATTTTAATTCTCTATTTTTGAAACCATTTTTCAGGGTTGTGGAAGTGATTTTGAAGGGCTATTGAAGCTATAGTGGGATTTTGGGAAGAAGTATCGTCATTGCCTTATCGTCAGCAAAGCTATAGAGAATGGTGCTATGGTGCTCAGAGATATCAGATGCGTAGAGAGGAAAGAGAAGATGGCTTAAAACACTACCTTGTGGTACACCCGCAAATTGAGGAAAGAAGAAAGTAATGGAGCAATCAATAATAATACAGAAAAACCTGCCAAGAAAGAAATATTGAAGTATCAGACAGTAAGTTAAAGGAAGGTGTGGCTTTATTTTTTATTTTCCACAACAAACCCTTGTGCCAGACACTACCAAACGCTTTCTCGATAACTAGAAATATTGCTAAGCAGGATTCTTTTTTCTCGAAGGGGACTGAGACAGCGTCTACAATACGATGACACTGTTGTACAGTCAGTGATAACAACGAAAGCCAAATTGATGATTCGGAATAACTTTCCGATTTTCTAGGATTGGCTTTATTCTAAGAAGAAATAATTTCTCAAATATTTTCTCTATTATAGGCAAGAGTGCAATGGGAGAATAAGAAGAAGGGTTACTGGTAGGTTTATAAGGCTTAGATATCATTAACACTAAAAATTATCAGAAAATAAATACGTTCACTTGCCCACTTAAACCGATATGGATATCCACTTCACAGATTTATGGTTCAATGAAATACAGGCATTTAAAATATTTCATTGTACTTTAAATTTTGTATCTCTCTAAGGGATTTATTTACCGCCTAAATAAACTGGTGGACATTTGTCACGTGTTAAGTTAGTTAAACGTTAACACTTCGATTAACGTTTAATTAATTTAACTAGTTTTTAAGGTAAAAATTAGAATACAATAGAAAAATATATAGATCACGCTAAATGATAATCAGCTTTCTCATTATGATTTAATATAATTATCATGCCATATTGTCAATGATTATTTATTTTTATTACGTTTACATGTGTTGTTTGTCTTTTTACTAGAACTTGAAGAAGCGGTGAAGAAAGCAAGAGAAGAAGAAATAAAGATTCCATTTGGCGTTGGAGTTGCAGGTGTTGTGGCTCAAAGTAAAGCTGTAATTAACATCAGGGATGCCTATACTGTAAGTAGCATATATAATTACGAATTTATTATTTTAACAATAATTTCAATATCAACATCGGAAATTGGGTTGAAGCCATGTATTTTCTTTTTTTTTTATCTCAATTACGGTTTTCGGGCCAGAGTGCTATTTACTTATTCACCAACTTCGTGAATAAATACTGCTGCTAAAGCGTTTCTTTCCCTTTCATTTACTCTCATTTTAGCATATTGCAACATCAAATAGTTCAATTTAAAGTTTTAATTTATCAATTTCTTTGAGTATGATATTAATTATCTACAAATTTCAAACCATAAAAAATGTTTATCAATATCAATGTTTTAATTTACTTTTTTTCAAAACTTGAATTTTTAAAGGAAGAGCGAATATGTGGATAAAAATCTTAACGGAATATACATTTAAACTCTTTTGTTGTTTATGTATCTATAACACATCGATTTATTTTCTTTCTTTTGTGTACCTTTTTTATACACATTAAGATTAATTAAGATTATTCGTCAATTTTTTTTTACTTTTAACCACTGTTTCGGTTAGCTGTTAAATAATAATGAATTTTAAAATTATAATATAGTAATAGATAATATAATAATTATAATAAAGACCAAAAAATCCTTTAAAAAAAGGTTTTCCCCCACAACGTTGATTCGACCCTTCATTAGCCGTAGATATCATACCGCAATACAAATCAGAGTAACGGGTTTGCCGACTTAAGAAATAAAGGGGCAAAAGTTCAATTAACAAAACCAATAAATGAATTAATCTGATAATCCTAACAATAATTACTATTTAATAAGTTCCAGGAATTTCAGCAACCTCCAACTCTATTTATTTATTTATCATTTATTAACTTGTTGGAAATGAGCTTTCCTACAACATATATTATACTAATTCCTTAACTTTTTATTTAATTTAAACAAAAACTATCTTCTTAAAATAAAGGTTTAAAAAAACAATTTGTATTTATAATTTATATTTTTTTTAGTTTTCATATATCCAAAAATACCTTTTTCTCTAGAAAATCATCTTGAAATATAAAATAATAATAATAAATAATAATTTTTTGTTTGTATATTTGACTTTATAAACATAAAATAGGACTTCCTTTTACAAGTCTTAAAGCCAAAAAACAAAAACAAAACAAAAAATGTAGAGAAGTTCAGGAAATGGCAATAATAGAGAAGTCATGATAAAATAATTATTTATATGTTACACCATTTTAATAATAATGATCACTATACTATTAAAGAAATATGGCTATGTGTAAGTCCCGATATATATAAGACATATATATTTGAAAAAAAAAAAAGGGAGGGAAATAGCCAATAACACTTATGATATGTATAGCCAATGATTTCCAGGAGAATGAGGTATATTAAATATAACGTCAAATAGCTAGCTGTAATCAGAATTTGTAAAAAAAATGCTTCCATGTTAAGAAAAATATTTTTTTATTAATATTTAAAAAATTATAATTTATAAAGTTCAGTTATGTAAACACCCTTTATCATTTAAGACAAGGAAATAAATTAGTGTAATACAGTGAAAACTTACTCATATATTGTAAAATATAAATTGTTGTAGTTGGAAAGTTTTTTACGTTCTCGCGTGGAACTTTGAAAAATAATACATGAATAAATAGAGATTTTTTAGAAGTCAGAAAATTAGGAAATATATAAACTTACTACACTGTATTTTTTTTTAACATGTTTATTGAGAGATATTACAATTTGTCACAATTAAGGACATTTATAATAATGTTCAAAGAAAACTTTCACAATAAATAAAAATAAATAATACAGAAAAATAATAACACTAAAAGTAATTATATATAAACTAAAATAAACTAAACTAAACAAAAAGAAACTAATCTAATGAAAATAACTACTCAAATACATATATGCTTCTATACTACACTGTAATTAGATGAAGAAAGTTCCAAGCTGTTGATATAGTTCTAATTTGTTATTCTTATCTTCTTTTTTTTATCCACTTCTATCACTAATAGCGATAATTTACTTTTTTTATTCCCACCAGTCACATATAAGTCTAACAACAATAAAAGTTAATTAGAAAAAAATTGTTTACGCGTGTTAATAACTCCTCGTGGTTAGTGCCAAGCCAGTCTCAATTTAGTCCCTTCGTTCTGAAAAAGAGATCTCATGTCAAGCTCCTTTTCAGTCACCTACTAATAGCCATGTCACCCTTAAAGTTTATTATTATGGTGTTGTGTTCTTAGAATTTAATTTTAATATTAAATATAAATATCTGTGAACTTTAATCTCCATACTCCAAAAAAATGATTAAAGATTAAATCACAAGAGTACGTATATAGTACTTTCTATGTAGAGTTTTCTTATTTACGCATTATAGCATGAATTACAGAAATTTCTATATTTATAATAAAAACATGAACTTTACGAATTTCCTGTTGCTTCTGACCAAGAGTATGCAATGATAATTTAAATATATTAAAAGACATGCGATGAAATAAAAATAGGTGAGAAAAATAACGTGGGAGGGCGGTATTGCAGTCACCCCCTCCCCTCACCCTCCTCAGCTAGCCAATACGGTGCCGGCTATAAAATCAAGGTAGGGTCATAACCCTTGACCGTTTTTACGTTTCTCATCTTTTAGAGCCAACCTCGAATGTTCGCCCATCGTTCAGGACTGCTAAGTCAGTACATTTGCAAAAACTTGTATTATATTCGAATTCCGACGAACAGTTCAGCAGAAATTTAGAGAAAAGTATATTATTTAAATTATAAAACCATTTATCTCATATCCGTAGCTCTATAAGTGAGTCGCATAAATATTGCCATTATAAATATATTCTGAAAATGCATTTTTTGACGAATTTGTCTGAGGAGTAGGACGGAAAAGTTTGGTTTCTGTAAAGAATTACAGCCGTAAACTTTGTAGCAGAATTTTTAGGTGGTTCCCAAAAAGAGATTTTTTAACTGATATTTTCTTCAACTAAAGTCCACATAACTTCTTCATCAATGGAATAACTCTTCCACGATCATCTTGGTCCTCCACGAGGCTGTAGTCTCTCTCTCTCTCTCTCGAAATTTGTAAAATCGTTGGTGAGAGGTGGACTCACTTAAACTGCTCACTGCCATAGACTTCATTAATGTTTCTGAACTAAACTCATTCAAAAACATGCTTTGAAATCTGAGTAAACATTGAATTATTTTCCTGTAGTGAAATGCTACTAGTCCGTGATACAGACCACTTTTTATGAAATTATTAACATCCCCCTGAAACTTCGTAACCAGCTTCATTCCATCATAATCTACTTATTTACGAAAACTCACGGAATTTGGGAGTTTTCAATCTGGGGGAGGGCAAACTTTGTCTATTTAATTAGGTAATGAAATCTCGTAAATATCCAATTGCTTTTCACTTCAATCGTAACATATTTCGAACACAAAATCGAGAAAAAAATGTGGCCTTCAAAAATATTGAGCCATTTGGCGTGACCTACACCCCCTAATTGTCAAAATAGCGAAGTTATATAGGCCAAACAGACCAATATTTTTGTAGGCTACCTTTTTTTATCAATTTTGTAATGAAATTATCTTACGATCCAAGTAGAAAGCAAATGGGTATTTACGAGTTTTTAATGCCTAATTAAATATACACAGAAATACACCAATTCCAAGAGTTTTCGTAAATAAAATAGTTATAGGTTACGATGAGATGAAACCATTTACGAAGTTTCAGGCGGAGGTTAATGATTCGATAAAAAGGGGTCTGTACCACGCAGTATGCAGTAGATAAATACATTTGTTACATATATTTAAAAGAGGGTTAATTAGTTTTGAAATTCATACAAAAATCACTATTTTTTATAAAGAGAAAACATGAAACTCCGCATTATTTTCCGAATAGCCGAATAAGTCCTTGCCGACCTCCTTAACTCCTTCTCATGTCTTCCACCCGGTCCCCTTTAACATTTTTTTTACATGGAGATACCTTTTCTGTTCAACATAAAATTATTTTACTTTATGTTCCACTTGGACAATTTTTCCTCATTACTCATTTTAATTTCGCCAATTTCTGTTTTTAAATTATGCATTTTTTGTATTATGTAAGGTTTGTTATATATTTATAGTAATGCTTATGATAAAAAATAAAAGGACAGATAAACAATAAACTTTATATTTGAAGATGATTTTTTGGAGTATAGAATCGTCCATTCATAAGAATATGAAATCGTCGATGAAGAATCGATATGTGTCGGCCAACTATTGCCAAGTTATTATGTAGGATTTAATTGGTCACGTACAAGATGCTTTAGTTATGAGTCGTAATATTAATGGTCTTTTTAGCTATATATCTGTGAGGAGTATAAATGTTGAATATATAAATATCTCGAAAATCTAGTCTCAAGATTATAGTCAAGAGTGTTTTGTCTCTAGTGGATGGTATTAGAGAATAGGATTTTAGGGCTAATAAGATGTATTCTGCCAGTTTTAGCTCAACAGATGTTTTAACTTGACAAAATGATGAGAAATTAGTGATCAACTTTTGACGAATGAGACTTTTTTTTAAATCTGATATAGTCTAATTATTATATGTTACTGTTATTTGATTTTAACTTTTTATTTTATTCCATATGGACATACTCATCACAAATATACGGCATCGCTAAAAAGACCCACCTACAAAAACTTCAAACGTTCCAATCAAAATTATTGCGACTCATAACAAAAGCACCTTGGTACGTGACTAACAAAACTCTACATACTGACCTCCACTTTCCAACAGTTGACCAACATATAACGACCCTATACCAACGATTTTACACAAATTTAAATGGACATAATAACAGACTTATAAGAGACATGGCCACAGCTGACATACCTCAGAACATGAGCAGAAGACTAAAAAGGCGTTGGATGAGGGATCTGCTTCCTTAGACAACCTAAGTAATTGGAACAAGTTAGGGAAGAGGTACTGCTGAGTACTTTCCTTCCCCATGCCTGTCATGTCATTGC